TTTGCAGTGTTGGGTGCCAGACTTGACCGTATAACACAGAAGGAATTTTGGATGCTGAATTGGCCTTAGCCATTTTCTGTCCTGTGCAAATGAACTGAAATGAACTGACCTGAACTGCCTTTAGGTTCTGCCTATGCAAGTATTTCCGCACCGATATTGAAAGTGATAGATTATGTTTGAGTTGGTGTACAGAGGTGGGCGTTCTTTCCCGGGGAGACGGGTATTCTGCTGGTCTCCTGCACAGTTCTGGGTTTGGCTGCGTATTACGTCTGGTTGACAACTGATCGTAACCGTCGATGGAATAGATCAGTTACATCACATTTGACGCTAATGCAAAAACGAGCTTTTCAATCTTTAATCCACTCCGCCTATCGACAAAGTCCTTGGGATAACCATTTCTTGTCAACGTGCTCTGCAATAAGCTGACCTCATTTGATCTAGTGACATCAGTGCAACTTAGACGGGCTCTATCGAATAAGGCATGAACAACACCAAGTTTATATTCAACTGGAACAAAACTTTTAAAGTGCACATACTGAAATACCCAGTTTGCATTATGATAGACCAATTGCTACATAGTTCCATCTGGTTTTCGAGTGATATTTATGTCAAGAAAACACAGATTATTGTTTCTTTTCGTTTCTATGCTGAATTGTGTGTTCGGATGTAGTCCATTGAGGCCTTTTGGGATGTTCTGGGGCCCGTTTTACATTGTCCATAATGAGCATATCATCAGCATATCTTCTGTATAACGTAGCTCGTTTTCATAAATTCCGGGCTTGGGATTCCATGAATAAATTTACCAGTACTGGTACCAGAGGGCTTCTCGTGCCTGTGCCATCAATTTTTCTATATGCCTTTCCTTGGAATGAGGCAGTCTCAGTACGCAGTAGGAATATTCTCTCCAAGGCGGAAGCCGATAGACCGGTTCCCACTTGTGTTTCCACATGACCAAAAATTATGTGAATACATTCAGGATCAGTAACAGTGCTAGATGATGACTGCACGTCCAACCAAGCCATGTGCTTCTTAGCCATGTTCAGTTGTTCTAATTGTTTTACTATGTCAAACATTTTTCATGGTACATGTGATCATAGAATAGCCCACTGGCTGAAATACGCTGACGAGCCACTTTGCCAATCGATATTGTAGTGTGTTTTTCATTAAAAGCAAATGTTCAAACTAATTCTTCATTCTAAGTACCTCGCCCTAAAAGGCAGTCAGAACGACTCAGTACTAACTCGTAAGCTTCCCGACGGCTGTCCCGACGTCTGCTCAGGTCACCAAACGTTTATGCTCCTAATACGGAAGCAAATTTAACTTTCCCCTGGATCCTCTCACTCAAACCTTGCTCCTCTTCGGAACCAATCAATACCCGGGACCAACGGGCTTAGCATCGCACCCGCGTAATACTCCAAATCTTCAAGGCAATTAGGATGCCATTGAGGTAAGCGGACACAAAGTATAGACCTCAGAGAACATTGCCAAAGATACGCTAAAGGTTTCAGAGGCATTTCGCAAACCAGAGGGCATGCCGAGAAACTCAAAGAAGCCAAAAGATGTGATAACCGCGCCGTTTTGGTGGTCAGGAGGGTTAACTTGTATCTGGTGGTAAGCATGCACCAGAACCAGATTAGAAAAAAGGTCTTGTCATGAGATCAAGCTGTGAAATCACAGGACAGCGGTCAGGGACAGCAACTAAATAGTTAATTTTCCATGCTACCTAACCTGGGGTTCAGTTTAAGAAACAATTCACATAAATAACCAATTCCCTCCGGTAGACCGTTTTTAGACCAAAGTGAGATCGTTAATTTACTTACCACCATGGATTGAATGAAAGAGTGAGGAACTTACTACAGCGCACATGACGTATCACTATAAGGAAAGTCGTTGGTGTGTAGGGTCTTCAAGTCCTTACGATCAATGAAACGTCTACTTAGGTAGCAGAAACTCAACTGTAAAGCGTACCATTTAGTCGCTATTGGGGATTTATACACGTTGCAGAGTCATTGTGCGCATTAAAAGAAGCCGTTCGATGGTATCATATAAAATTAAATAGAAAAGTAAGGTACCACACTGTAAATAATAGTGCGGAAATGTTAATTCATTTAACCTTCTCTTGTGGAAGATGTGGTTACGACTCTATACAGTTCCTTCAGTAAGGGATGTAAAACATCTCAATGTGCAAAAGCGACAAATTCGTTGGGTGTATCACGGTGGTTGATAAGAGTATTATCTGCAGCGATCACCTCAGAGTCCACTGCATTCTTATAGATGCTTCACCGATCTTCGGGGAAGAACAAAACCCTTCGTGTTTATTGGGGCAAAATATATGCTTCTTCACACACGCTTTATTCATTGGTGATTGGATAAAAACAAGAACGCTTGTGGAGCAGTTTGTCTGCAATCTCTGCACTGCACTTATGATGGTTTCAAAAGTCAAGTTTTCACTTTCTCTATTCATTTAGCTACTTTGAGGATTACATACCACAGGATTCGTATATTCACAGAACAACTGGACCCGAGCAATCTGAGTGAAGTCCCCTGTTTCATGTTTCCACATGTGTTCGTGATTGATTTCGGTGGATCTTGAATATCATGAGCGCAATGACTTTAGAATGAGTTAACGACCTTCACTGTGTTGATTGCAATGACATGCATGCGCAACTATCTTCCGTCTCGCAGGGCACACATTGACCTATCGTCAGGCAGTTTAACGGTTGGTCGGATATTTCTGAATCCACTTTTGCTTATATATTCAATGGCTAAGTAACTGGTCTGTTCTTTTAATGATCAGCACATTCATAGCTAGTGCAGTTTGTAAGCCTTTTTTCCAGCGGCAAAATATTAACAGGTCAACTCCGTATAGTTTCAAGACCAGGAAAGTTCTGAGTTTTGATGCGCGGCTTGTACAGGAACCGATCAGATAACAAAAACCAACATAAACGTTTAGGTAGGCAGATACCTTGTTGTTCTGCCCCCAGAAAAGAGGCGACGATTTGGGGTGACTTAGTGTGGAGCTCCGCGTTACAGTTTGTGGATACCTGAGGTCAATCAAATTTTAAAGGTGACGTTAATGACACGCGTACGGTTTCTGACTATGCGCCATAGGCAGGTTGTGTCAGTCATTCCGAGAAAGTGCAGACAGAAGCAGAATTATGCAAGCAATAATGCAATACGATTGATGGATCCTAGATAGCCAATGACCTACTTTTTTACATATTATTTAATCGCCCTCATTTCTTTCAATGAATGAACTACGAACTGCCATTCTTGTGGCCTTTTCCTCAAGTTTCGTTCACGTGGGACATTGCGAACTCGTGCCATTACGGTCCAGTGCTTCCGTAATCCGGTTCGTGATTCGTGTCCTGTGATTCCTATTGCGTGGTTTGTGTTCCGAGTTCCGTGCATACTACTACTTCTAATACTACCACTACTACTACTACAATCATAACAATTGGATAAAAATGTTCAACACATGTGAATTTGAGAAATTAGAATCCAGTGGAAAAATGTGAAGAGTGTCACGAAGACAGCATGCACCTTGACAACCGCCTTGTTCGGGGACAACCATTCAGATCAAAGATAACTGAACTCAGTTTAGTGGTCGGAACCGCCAACCAATCAAGACGGTTAGCAACAATCCGGNGTACCCTTATTGTTCTCTTCCGTATAAATCTGACTTTTACATGCCAAATGAATTTGTATACGCTTCCAGCTATGTTCTATTTCACAGTCGAGAACTCAGCATCGAGCTTATTCTCTGCGTGTAGCGAAAAAAGTTGATTAATCCCTAGCATTAAGGTAAATCCCACTAACAAGCTCATAGTTGTGATGTTAATTATTGGTTGTCATGATCTTAAATGCCTGCATGCAAATTGACGCTTCTATTAGTGTGATGATCCGATCGGGGTGCGATACCGGTCACGCAGGAATTCATACAATGTGATTGTGCATCCATAAAATTTATTCCTTTTTAAATAGACCACGCATGTTCGGAATCTTCTCTCTGCACTAATTTGAATGAGTGCCCCCCGAGGTGAGTGCTGAGTGACAAGGCGAACAATGAAAGACATGGCTGATCAGGGTTCCGCGTTATTTGATACACCAAAATCAAATCCCTTGGAATTCGGCGATGCTGTATGGTGTACAACCCAAATGGTTCCAGTCTTTCCACACAAGTCTTGGAATGCAGTCCCTTGACCATTTTGGTGACCATTCTTTGTGCAAGTTCCAGAATCTTACGATCGCGTTTCAGCCATAAACTCCACACTTGAATCGCATAGTCTGTCTGTAGTCAAATTTAGGCTGATAACAAATGTGGAAGCAGCATCGGTTTAAATTTAGCAACTACTCGTTTTAGTAAATTAACATGAGTACAGCGGTCCCTAACATAAGTTGATCAGCTGTATCATACTCCCAATCTGAAATGCATTTTCGACGAGCCATATTGCTTCTGGTTGTGGATTTTATGTTCTCAAAATAAAACGGTAGCTATTTTCTGCTTCATAAAAAGCAAGCATGAAATACTGCTCCACTGCACGCGGTGGAATAGTTTTTCATTACTTCGTAAAATATATAATCATATATTGCTTGGTCAAATTACTTTATTGTTCAAAGGAATTAATCCACAATTGAACATGATCATAAAAGCGTAGCAAAAGTAATCCAACAACTGGTATACCAAGAAAACAAAAAAATGGAATCAAAAATTTATACGTGAGGTGAATGGCTTGGAAATGTGCAAAGAGCGATCCGGTAAAAGATGTCTTTATTTAACCGGCTTAAATTGATATATGTAATAAGAAATGAAAAACATGAATAGGAATGAAATGAAGGTGGAGTTGAGCCCATTAATCAAAACGATCTAAGGGCAGGTAGTCGATGAGCCTGTGTTTACAACGGTTAGTCACATTTCTCAGAGAGTAGTGATGGAAATTTCGATAGACACGTTTGGTGGTGGCGTCTTTATGGTCTATTAATTGACATGTCATATTACATTATCCAGGGTCATGATTGTCAGTCGAATCTCCTTCTGATTGGAGATGGTGAGGATGTTTCCGATGAAAGTGCAAGTGTAGTCGATGATGCGAGCCATCCGAGTCGTCTAGTTCGTCCAGTTCCTCGGGAAGAGGTATATGATGTTTTGTGAGCCTCCGTTCCAGTTGGAAGATTCGACGTTGAAGATAGATTTCCTTCATTTTCATCTTTTTGATTTTGTTAGATATACCGGTTGACATGGTGACGATTGTCGCTAATAAGAAAAAGGAAGCGAACAGGGGTTGTGAATCATGCTTGCCGGAATGTGAACTGAATAAATTATTTTTCTTCTGTTTATGGATTGGGTAGAAGTCGCACGAATGGTTTCATGATCCATTCACAATAAAGTGATCATGATATTCATTTTATTGTTGAGTTGAGGGATAAAGGATAATCCAAAGTAACCCAAGACCAGCATTGTATTTGATCGATAAGTCTGTTGCGCCCCACTGAGATGTTTCTCCCTGTTCAACAACCTTCTTATGGCCTTGAGAAAAATTGTCATCGAGAATGTGGTCTTTGCTTTTCTCTCTTATGTACATTTTCTCGACCCGAATTTGCTGTTTGCGGAGCATAATTCTTTCCGTTTCCTTGCATACTTATGAATAAATGAATGAATTTTTTATGCGGATAAGAGCAGTCTGTGATACTAAAGGCTCATCTAACATAAACATAAACCTGTATCTGTCAACAGAGGTAAGCTGATTGCCGTAGTTAAGGGAACGTTCTTCTGCGGGTCACTGACTTTTGCAGGCTGTTTGCGTCACACCGGTTCAAAAAGGATGCTGGAAAATTTCGTATAATATCCGTTTAATTAAAGCTTTTGAAAAACGTTTGATTTGTTGCGTCATTTATCATGCAAAGTCCTCAGACAATAAACATTTTGCTGTATGGAGATGTTATTCTACTTTAGAAGCCATGGTTCTCCATACGTTACCTTGACTATGGTAACCAGTTAACATCTGTCGAAAGAAAGTTATTTTTTGAGTTGTGTGATCCTTGAGTATCACGGACTGGTCTTCTATGCGCAAGAATTGATTCACTGAAACAAGTCAGTTCAAAACCTATTTGGATCTTATATGCGATTTGTTACTGATGAATTCTTGAAAGACCAGTGATGCAGTTGTTTCTCCACTTATCATCTTGCTCCGTCTAGTTGACCTTGCCAAAGCCCCCGATAAGCTCCGTGTCAAGTAAGCCAAAAATATAATTAGTTTGCTGCTGGTTATACGGTGATTTCACAGTCCTTCATCCTAATGCATACAGACTTATCTTTCCCATTTAAACACCAGTGACTCCAAACACGGTGGCTTATTTCCTCACCTATGGTGGCTCTCCCTGTTACACATAGTTGCCACACTTACGGTCATGAATTAAGTGAGGTACAATAGGGTCTTGCATTGAATAATACACTGTGCGCCTTGTATTTATACAAAAACATTTAAAATCTGCGACATGCGGAGGTTTTGTTGTTGCACATCTGTTATTTTAACACTTCGACGATCGTTTACTCATTTATTGCAAGTCCTAGAAGTAACCACTACTGAGTTAAATCGTTCTATTGGGAGTTGTATAGCGCACAACCGGTAAACGTCTTTGCAATTGCTTGAATTCATTATTATTGCTATACAGTGAACCACAAAGTGCTACCAGATAACATACTCACTAACTCCACATATTGTGCCAACTGCAGTGGGCAGTGCTAGAACTGCTTACCATTGTTTATTTGTTCTTTCTTATTTTGGTGAATTTAAGGCGTCAAAGACTTGATTCATACAAAGAGTTTCACAAATGTATAGAGAATTAATTGAGATTGGATATAATATTTCAATCATCTTATCTCAATTCTTTTATGCGATTTTCTCGTTCGTTTTGTGTTTTCTTTCTAGCATTTGAAAAGGCATCTACACTGATAGAAGAAGCTGCTCTTTAATACATTTACTGTGGTGTTACGTGCTTGTTTATCCAAGTAAAATTTATCCAGAACCCGGTTTAGAGCCTTCGTGCGGCAGGTTGAAACGAAATTCGATGAAATCTAAATCTCACTCAAAACAGCATGGCTGCAATACACCCAACAATCGTTTTCAGCTGGGATAACCTTTCAATATTAACACTCACCCCGAACTGAAAACGTTCAACCCATCCCATAATAATAAAATCTTATTCAGCTCTTTGAGCTGTGCAACGAAATTCTCGAACGGATTCGACAGATAGTGAGCTGTATTGCACAGTCTGCTTACCGTTCAAGATTCGAACAATTCGCCACATTCGGAAAACAATCAACAGACCAGCTGCCGCTCCAAACGCGTCCAGTGAACCCGAATTCTGATCCCCATGGCTCCCAAAGTGGACCACATGATCAGCAATCACCAGCGAATCGGCCACCAGACTGATCACCGTGACAATAGTGTCCACAACTTCAATCCAGTGTGTGCAAAAATGTTTTGGTCCGACAGCGAAGAGCTTTAACGAGATTTCAATCATAAACATGCTGACGATAGAGATGCTCACACACTCGAGACCGAAACGTGCATTTTCAATGGTGGTTCGGGTCCGTCCAGTCTACCAAAATGGGGGCGGATTCAGAAAAAGTTGAATCGTCACATTCTTACCAGATACACACACAGATTTTTCAAAAAATTAAATGTATGCAGAAATGTGGTGCCGCTTAGAAATCAGATCCCCAAAGGAATAACAGTTCACAGACTCAGGCGTCCGTGAAGTTGTATTGAATGATACGGGTGCAACAGTTTTGTCTATCTTGGTTCCCGTCGCTTTTTGTCCCAATAATTTTGCTAATCCAAGCACACTATTGTTTGCTGTAAAATAGGTTGATCTCCCCCTGTATATTTAAATAGATGTAAGTAGGCTGATGTATTCTATTTTCTATTCTCCTCGAATCTGCATTGCAGGGAAGAATTACTTGGTATACGCGCTATTCTAATTTTGGAAGCGATCACGTCCGCGATCTCTCATAATTTCTACCCTGTACTGGTAAGATGCCTGGAACGGACCTGCCATTTTGACCAAGGTTTTGTATAAAGTAGTATTCAATGATAACATCAAATATGAGAGAAATGTCGAGTTACGTCAAATATTAAGTGACTGGTACGTCACCCAACACAGCTGTTTTGTCTATGCCGCAAAGCTCTCAATATGCGCCCATTTTAGTGTGCTTTATCGTAGTCAAATAGAGGAACGAAACTATATAAACTATAAGCTTTTAAATTTAGCCATTTGCAGAGTCTCTTGCTGTTGCAACCACATAAAGCGTTTGGTTCTTAATTCGCCTAAGCAGCTGGCAACATGGTGGTTTGTTTTTCGTCTGAATGTACTAAAATAAGAGACGGTCATTTGAACGATAGATTACAAAATCATAAAAGAATTACTGCTAACGTGTTGCACAAGTTTGCCTGAGAGTAGTCATTTCAAATTGTATATCATTTCGTCCAAAATGAATAATCAGTAGTTGGCAGGTCTCCAGAGCAAGATTACGCGCAAGTAAAAAGCTTTAACACAGGGAAAATCTGACAGCAGCCGTTTGGTTCGGAAAGGAGTTTTGTCGAATACGAATTTGTACGGTTGAGTGTATGTTAACTGCTTGATTACGGAGGCACTGTAGTCTACATTCTAAAATCAAAATAATAAAAACGGAAGGACCACCAAGTTTGCACTCATGTCTATCACAGAAGTCACATTTCACTTGTATTTCTCACATAGGTGAAGCATAGTATTTTATTGGGCATGACGTAAATTTCGAAATCCGGTAATTTTCCGTATTTGTATGAAAAGAAAGTAAGTGTTGACGGACTACTTGGTGCTTTTTCCAGCAATATCAATTACAATCATGTATTTATGGAAAATAGGTGGGAATATCACTCGATTGGTCAAATGAGATGTGCCTACATAGTTTGTAGTGTAAAATACTCCTTAGTCGGTGAACTCAGTTGAATCCTCCAGAAATCGAAGGATTTCATTATAAATGATCTTCGAATCAAATAGAAAAATGAAATACTTTTTCATACATCCCGATTGTGAACACGCGTAGAAAAACGGTTACTTTGCACCTCGCATAGAACAACAGAATAGTTAGAAAAGACTGCATTATTGCAAGCACTGAGCACAAATCAATCCGTAGTTTGGGGTTGTCAGCTTCTTGTTTGTTACGAATCCTGAGTCAAAAGGAATGCAAATTTAAACCTATAAATTTGATTCCGAGTGGAAGTGACCAAGAAGACCATTTAGGGACAACTGCGAGACTCTAATAGATCATGGTGAAGCGAAACAGAATGTATAGTTAGGATTGGAGATTGAAGCATTACTCATCTAACGGAGGGAAAATATAACGAGCTGTATCAATAATGCCTTCCAGAGAAACTGAACAAAACTGAAAACGAATCTACGCAATTTAGAGTTTGGTTTCATCATTTTAAAAAAATTGGAAGAAACGAAAAGGATTGTCTATATGCTTAAATCATACGCATTATAAAGTGCGGCAAAGCTAAATATCGTCCAGACTTCACTAGTCGAGACATTGTTTGGGTTTTCTAAAGCGACTGCTGTCAACTTATGGATGTCCCCTTCGCCTGTTTCAATGTAAGGAACTTCATTAGCTTATTCTTACCGTGGTCACGTGACATTTTTTGAATCCCACAACCTTTATGCCTCCGTTTTAAGTGCATTTTAATTCTCTTTGTTGCCCTGGCAAAGACCTGGAAGAACAATGCGTTTTTGGCAGTCTGCACCATGCTGAGATGCGGCGAAATAATCCGAATATGGTCTTTTCTTTTTAAAAAGTATGTTTTGAGGCGCAGACTATATAACGTAGTTCTTTGTATCTTTGATAGAAAGGGATGAAATGATCACACCAGAAACAGAAGACAACCTTGTTATTTGATGATTCCCATACTGACAAATTATAGACAATGAAACCCCGGGAACACACAAAAGAAAGAAATAATTGAACCAAACGGCGAGAGAAAATTTCGGTCAAAAAACCGTCATTACTGATAAACCGAAACGAATAATCCCTTATAATCATATCAGGCATTTTAAAATTATCATTTCACCCGGGAGCCAAGAATCATTCGTGCCTTAACTGAAATTTACCCAAAGTTATTAGATTCAGGCTTTAGAAGAAGTGGAAGATGACCAACCCCCTTAGAGAAACTCATAATCAGTTGTTTTTTACCCAGAAGTTCAGCAGTATATTTTTATAATGATTTCCTGTATTGAGAACCATAAAATGTCTCATAAGAAGATACAAATAAGCTAACGTCCTTAATCAGCATACAGAAACTCGAAATCCATGTTGCTCAGTAAGTGTGATGAAGGGTTTCTTCCGTTCGCCTCTTTTATCCTGAACTTCGTTGAACGGAGACAAACCGCCCGGTGAAGGAGTGTCTGCAAAACCTGAGGTAGATGGTACGGAGGACAGACAGAAGAATTGCAATTTAAAGTAAAAATTAAACGTGCATTATTATCACGCGGGTGCGCGAGATAGAATTTACTGTTGACCTCAAAGTTCACCAATAGGTAATGTGTAGTGAGAAACAATCCTGCAGTAGGTGATATACCAAGTTTAACATTTTCGCAAACCACTACCAGGCTCTTTGTTTGTGGTTTTGAGATACCCAATCAAATGCAACTGCAATTCTTATTTCGGTGCCGGTAATTCGAAACAGGCATTGAAGTTCACTTGTGAGATTCTAAATAGTTCAAGTAATAAAGAAATTTGTGTAAAAATCAGATGAACGAGGAAAAAAGCAGTCTCGACAGCTTTGGAAATTAGAATCGTTTATCGTCGCATTTGTATCATTAGGCAAGAAAAAAGAGATGTCACCTGAATTAGCATAATCGTGACTTACGTTTATGAGTTTCTGTCAGGGGGAGCATGACAGCAACGTGGGACGGTGACCTAAATAAATTGTGCACGTCCGAATTAGTCCTCTAAGGTGATTTAATAAGTGTTATTCATATGATCGATAATGAACAATTGTAGGTAGCGCAATGTTCATGAATGCTTTTTCATCCGTTGCCTCTCGGTGAATACAAATATGGTTAATGTTATTAAGCCACATTAGTTGCTTGAGCTAAACTTGATCAGACTTAACCCGGATGAAACAGTTCAACTACATTTTGTTTCTCCACGTTTACCACTTAATAAAAGCGTTTTGCTCTCAGGTTGTTTGGTGTCGAGGACTTAATTGAAATAGAATATATTAATTTGTAGACTACAGGGTACCAGAAATGGTATTAAGAACATGGAGGTTCATTTCTCTATTAATAAAATGTTTACGACCACGATATTGCTCGGGAAGTGGGGAACACATTATTTTCTAGTAACATATACTATCTTAAACAAGATAGCGCTTGTTCTTTTGTTTTCAACACAAAATCTCAATATCCGAAACCTAATTGCCGGTTACCGCGACCATTTGTCATTTTGATGCACGAATTATGTACATTTATTTAGTAACGTTCGGCAGATTGTAACGCATCCTCAGAAGATACCACTCATTTGCGTAATTTTTTGCGATGTATCACGAAACCGCCAGTACCGTTGTTGGAACGTGCGCAGCTTTTTAATTATTGGAGATGCAAAATATTCTATTATTCGTAATGACTGAAGTAAGGTTGAGAAAATGGTTCTCATTGATTCAACTGTGCCTGCGGAACATCACGTTTACAGAGCATTGAACTTTAGGCGACAACAGAACTACAACACCAACGATATTCGTAGATTATGAGCAGATAGATACACAGCACTTGATTTGAGTCCGGGTACCCAGCCACGTGCTCTGTCGATATGGCAAGAGATCTTGACTCAGTCTGATTCAAGTGTGATTTAGAAACAGTGATCAATAGATAGTGCACTTAAAATGAGCATAAAAATAGGATATAAACGATTTCGTGATAAACATTTCAACCAGATTGAGCATATTCTACTGAATAGAAAACCTGTTGCCCAGGCAGTTTTCAATTTGTGTTTGTGATGGTTATGAGAAGGCAGGATAAACGTAATACTATTATTCATGATGATAAACTAATGTTAAAAAAATGAAGCTTGATAAACCGCAAACTAATAAGTGATTCGAATGTGAAAAGATCAGTTCTGTTGGTGTGACCTCATAGCTCAGCTGATAGAACGTGCGTTGTACAAAATGCGTAGGTGGCGTCTATGCGTGTGTTCAAATTCCATCGAGACTACCTGAACGGTTCACAATCTTAGCATAATACTAAAGCGTTTGAAGAACAATAATCTTTTATTTTGGTTGATTTAAGTACTATGATTCGTGTAAAGTATCCTTCCGGTGGGTAGATCTCAGTCTGTCCATAGCAGGAGTGTAAGTGTGTTTGGTGGATGTTTATAAGGAAGATCACTTGCAAAATGGATTCACAATAATTTTGGAATTACTCTCTGCCACAAATACGCATCAAGTGAGATTAGAGACGTAAACCAAGTTGTACAATGTTTGTTAAGACGTTTC